TTTCTGATCTTTGACTGCATCACTTCCTCCATTCTTCCATCTTGCTTTAGTTACTCTATGGTCAAGAGCAAGTTCAGAGTCTCTTCTGAAATCCACTTTTATCTTTTCCTTCTTTCCTGTCTTTAAAAATAATATTTTTCTTTCTTCATGTATTGCATTCTTGATGACATCCCATTGGTCATCTAGTCTTCTGTCATTAGGGTTCAATGAGTAAAATCTATTTTGAGCTGGTCTCAAATTCAGGTTAGATTTTGATTCTTATGGACTTGTTTTAATTGTCTTCAACTTAACTTTGAACTTACACATGAGCAATTGATGGTCTGTTCCACAGTCAGTCCCAGGTTTCTATTTGTCTGCTGATCTTGAACTTTTCTATTGGCTCCACAAATGTAGCCAGTTTAATTTCTGTATTTTCCAACTGAATAAGTACACATGTATAGTCATTTGTGCTGTTGAAAGGTATTTGCAACATAGAAGTCATTGGTCTTGCAAAATTCTATCATACGATCTCCAGCTATGTTTTTATCTCCAAGACCATATTTTCTATTATGCCTTCTTTTTTGTTTCCAACTTTTGGGTTCCAAGCTTCAATAATCATCAATGAATCTTGATTGCATGTTTGATAAACTTCAAATTGAAGACATAAGTAGAATTCTTCAATTTCTTCCTCTCTAGCTCTAGTGGTTGGTGCATAAGTTTGAATGATAGTTGTAGTACCTGGATTTCCTTGTGTGCATATAGATATTGTCCTATCGCAGACAATATTGTCCTTCAAGCTAGATCCTGAAATGTCCTTTTTGATAGTGAATCTGATGCCATTTCTCTTGAAGTTTTAGTTCCCAGCATAGTAAACCATATGTTTTCTGATTCAAAATGGCCAATAACAGTCTATTTCAGTTCACTAATGCCTAGGATATTGATCTTCATGCATTCCATTTCATTTTTGATGACTTCTCATTTTCCTAGATTCATACATCATTCACTCCATGTTCCAGTTATCAATGGATGTTTTCAGATATTTCTTCTCATTTTGAGTGGCGCCCTATCAGCAAATGAAGGTCCCAAAAGCTTTACTCCATTCACATCATGATGGTGGGAGGCTTTCCTTTGAGAAGGCAGCTCTTCCTTGATGGCATTTTGAGTGCCTTCCAACTTGAGGGGCTTGTCTTCCAGCACTGTCTCTGGAAATGTTCTGCTGTTCATAAGGCTTTGAGTGTCTGTTTCCTCCAAAGTGGACAGCTTATTCCTTCTTCGCAGTCTGTTCTTAGTCTGGAAGCTCTGCTGAAACCTGTTCATTCTGAGTGGTCCTGCTGGTATTGGAAATGCCAGTGACATTGCTTCCATGATCCAAGCACACACAAGCCACTACAGTAGGACAAACTGACAGACAAATGCTAGGAATGGTACATGCCCCAGAGTTACTGGAAATGTTTTTATGTTAACATATGAAATCCAACGAACAAAAGTAGGACTCTCAAATTGGATCCCACAATTATTGAAATTCAAATTCCAACCCACACGATGGCTGGTTTTGGTGACAAATTCCCTGTAGAGTGTGTTTTCTTTTTCAACCCAGGTTGGGTGCCTTATTTCCCCCTTTGCCCAGAGATGGGGTTTTCCTAGCTCTCTCTTTCCGAATACTAGAATTTGTTCTCCCTGTGACGAGCCACAACTCCCTGCTTTGTACAGGGCCAGTTCCCCCTGTTCCCTAGTGTGCAGTGGTTGGGCACTCGGCTCCCAACTAAATGGTCACCAGCTGCTCAAGGGAGAGAGATGTGACAGCCGGCTTCTGTAAGATTGCAACCTCGGGAATGCTATGGAGGTGGTTCTACTCTGTTCTTTAGCATAGCGATGAGTTGGAATCCCCTCGACGACAGCAGTGGAGGTAGGCACCCACGCAGTCAGTGGAAACCGAACCCATTTGTTAGGAAATGCAGCACTCATTCCCAAGCGGAGTACAGAGCACAGCACTGCATCACCAGGCTGGCTTTATAAGGATTGGAATCCAGGAGATTTCCCTTTCTGAAAACTTAAAATGTTTAAAAATGTTTATAATATATATATGTGTGTGCGCGCGCTGCTGCTGTTGTTAGATGCTGTGAACTCTGTTCTGAGTCATACCCACCCTATTTAAAAGAGAATGAAATACTGAGCTCAGTGTTGTAACCACTTTGTTCAACCAGCTCGTTGACAATCTTCCTCTTTTTCACTGACCTTTTATCATCTTACCATGTATGCTGTCCTGTTCAAGGGACTGGTCTCTCCTGATAATATGACCAATGTGTATGGATGAAGTCTCACCATCATTGCTTCTGAAGAGCATGCTGGTTGTACTTCTTCCTGGATTGGGTGGTCTGATCTTTTGGAAGTCCACATGGCATGTTTGTTTTATCAGTTATTGCTGGGGTAGCAGGGAGCCCTGGTGGTGACGTGGTTATGCATTGGATTACGAACCGAAAGGTCAGCAGTTCAAAGCAATAGTCGTTCCCCAGGAGAAAGACAAGGCTTTCCTGTGAAGAGTTGCAGTCTCAGAAAACCACAGAGACCGTTCTTCCCTATGGTGTTGCCATGAGTCAGGATTCATTTGATGGCAGGGAGGTGTGTGTGTGTGTGTGTGTGTGTGTAGTGGATTACATATTGGAATGCTAATCACAAGGTCAGAAATTCAAAACCACCTGTACAAGATTTATAGCCTCAGAAACCCACAGGAGCAGCTCTACTAATACCTTAAAGGAATCTGCGAGTCCAGGTTGACTCGATGGTAGAGGGTTTGGTTGTTTTTTTAATACTTTGCATTGAGAGAGTCTCTAGTATTTCTAGTTTATAATTCTGTCAAAAATAGATGCAAATTTCCCCAGAAGTCCAATATTTATTTTTACCCTAGAAGTCCAATAATTTTAGGATGATTTTCATTTGTCAGCAAACAATTAATGGATGCTGTCTATACACCAGTAACTATTTAGGGAAATGGTTCATTTTCTAATAGAAAACCTCATTCAGTAAATAAAACAGCCAACTTCCTAACCAGAAGAATATATTCACAGGGAGGGGAAAAAAAAGAGGAGCTGATGCCAAAAACTCAAGTAGAAAGAAATTGTTTTGGAAATGTTGATGGCAACATATATACAAGTGTGCTTAATACTATTGAATGATGGATTGTTATAAGATTTTTAAGAGCCCCTCCCCAATAAAATGATTATTTTTTAAAAACATTTTATTAGGGGCTCATACAACTGTTATCACAATCCATACACACATCAATTGTGTAAAGCGCATTTGTACATCATTCTCAAAACATTTTCTCTCCACTTAAACCCCCGACATT